TCATTCATTTAAGAAGTCCCTCAAAACCCATCTCTTCAGAAAAGCTCATGACCTCCCAGAGTAACGTCTATTTCACAAACCTTTTTCTTGCTCTTTCTTAAAGGGTCACACTCCACTTTCATCTTTCAGTTCTGCTACTCTTCCACCTTGTTGTTTGGTTGCTATCCCCCACTCTGCCCTTCCAATTGTGTTTTTTTGTTTCCCCCACCTCCTCTAGATAGTAAGTTAATTTGAGCAGGGTCCTCATCAATCTATTGTTCCTGTTACATTTTGTAATTGTCCTCCTATATAATATAATACGGCACTGAGGAATAAGTTGGGGCTATATAAATGTCAATAATAATAATAATATCAGAAAGTGAAGATCAGCAGTGATATATATGTAGCCATTCAATATATAGTTTTGCCAAACATTCCTATTTAAAGGTCTATAAAATTTTGAAACCAAACAGAGATTTTAAATCTATTTTTATACTCCATGAACTTTGATGAGTTTACATGGCAAACTATTTTTCTGAAACTCTTTTTTACTGCTGCTATCAAATTGTCACAGAGAAACGCATTTGCAATTTAAAAAAAATATATATTTACTGTGTCAATTATTACATTTATTTTAGCATTTACCCATGTTGCTAAATATTCTGTTTCTATTTTAATTCCAAAACGCACGGAAGTCAAGCATGCTTCAGTGACAATTATATTTAACTTATTGTCATTTTGGTTTGCAAGACTGACTCAACTATTTTTTAAAAAACTTACTGTGAAATGAAATGACTGAATCCTCTGCACCATTTTTCAGGATGAAGTAAAGTTGGGGGAGGGTTTCTGTATAAAACAAAATAGATGCGGTACACTCAGATGAATTTATAAAACCAGATATAAAAACAATAAATAACAAACTGGAAAATGAAGATCTAAAAGTAAAATTGAATATTGTTACATTACAGTATTGAATAATATTGCATTTTATCATTAAAGTACTGCATTAAAACATTCAGGGTGGGTCCAGAGGCCTTTTTAATCTGGAGTAAAGGATGTCCAGAGGTCAAAACAGCTATTTGGAACTATAGTGTCAGGAATACACATTTGTATTCCTGACACTATAGTGTTCCTTTAACACTAAAACAATTAAAGGGATACAATAGTCCCCAGAACAACTACAGCTTATTTTATTTGTTCTGGTGAATATAATCATTCCCTTCAGGCTTTCTGCAGTAAACACTGTCTTTTCAGAGAAAGGCAATGTTTACATTACATTTTAGGCATTTTAGGGAAACCTCCTGTGACCATCCCCAGATGGCTACTAGAGGTGCAACACTGCCATTCTGTGTCTCCACCCTCTGCATGGAGACACTGAAATTTTCTCACAGAGATGCATTGGTTCACTGCATCTCTATGAGGAGATCCTGATTGGCCAGGGCTGTATTTGACTTGTGCTGGCTCTGCCCCTGATCTGCCTCCTTGACAGTATCAGCCAATCCAATGCTTTCCTATGGGAAAGAATTGTGATTGGGTTTGATCAACACTTCTGATGATGTCAGCCAAGCCGTCAGATCAGTGGCAGAGCCAGCTGCAGCAGACTGGAATAAATGTAATATTTTATTATATTTAGGATGTGTGTGTTCATGATCCTATAGTGCTCCTTTAAATTTGAAATTCACTATCATTTTTCACTAGTAAATAACACCAAATGAGTGTGCCCACATTATTTATCAGTAATGATGCCGTCTCAGCGAATCCAGCAATGTTTCTCTCTTCTTGCAGCTCACCCTTTCTGCATTCAGGCAACCTTCTCCTACCATACCTTCTTCTGTTTTGAATAACCAGATTCTGGAACTTCTGGCTTCCACATACCTGACATATTTCCTGCTCTGGTATAGCTTCCTCTTGTCTGCTTTAATAATAACATCAAAGTTTTGCTGGACCTCCCACAGACCCATCATCAATTGGAGGCCCTTCTGGGAAGTCAAGTTTGTAACGGTGCACCGAACACCCAGTAGTAAGATTTCAGTGCAATAACAGGAATTCAGCTGGACACTCTTTTTGTTTTGGCATTGTTAGACAATCCCCTTTTGGAATGCAGCGCAATGTCATTATAAGGATGTTTTATTTCCTCATTATTAAAAAATATTTAAATGGATTAAACATGCCGAGCTGCCATACAAAATGTTTACTAAATCAATGACCAGACCAGTCGGCTATGGTAGCCTAAAGATGTACCTTTAAACTTTTTTCATGGGCCAACTCTATTATTTTTGACACCCCTGGTGTTTTCATATAAAAGGTGAGTATTTTTGAAATTATAGGAAGATATTTCTCAAGGAGTGAGATACCAAGTATCTGCAGATAAGAAACGAGGAGTCTGTAAGTAAATAAAAGTGACTCTGCTTTCTACAGCTGATAATGTGGGTCTGTTTGTATGGCAGATGGTCAATTTACTCAGTGATTTCATGCTAATAATTACCTGAGCATAAGCCCAGGTTTTGAATTGTTTCCCAATCTATATGTAGATTATTATTTATGTGGAAGTAACAGCTGGTGGTAAAAACCACTTAGCCTTTCCATCTATCAGACCATGGAGTTCCTCTTGTATAATCTGCATTCTATGTTATTTTTTTCATTTATCATCACTTCGAAACATTTTAAATATAATCCGTAATCACCTCTGCAAATGCAACTAAAAATACTCTCAAATCATAAAATGCATGTGGGTGATGTCATACCGTCAAAGTTAGCACTGAAGTGAGAATCCTATGGAATTCAAAGTGAATCCAAAATAAAATTTACATTTATGGCCAAAATAATCAATCTGAAACAATAGCTGATGGAATCTTTTTCCCGTTCGGCTATTTTGTCCTTAAAGGGACACTATAGTCCCCAGAGCAACTAGCTTATTGTATTTGTTCTGGTGAGTATAATCATCCCCTTCAGGCTTTTTGCAGGAAACAGTGTCTTTTCAGAGAAAATACATTACAGCTAATGCAGCGATGGCGAACCTATAGCATGCGTGCCACAGCTGGCACGCCGAGCCCTCTCTGTGGGCACACAGCCATAATTCGCTGGGGAGAGGGGGGGCACGCTGGCGCCGTTTGGCAGCCTTAGGCTCCCCAGTGGCAACGCAGAGTAGGCAACTCACCAGTCCTCTACCGCCTCAGCCACCAGGCGGGGTGGGGCGGGATTTTGGAGTGGGCCAAGAGGCCGTCCTAACGTATGCATTTCTGGGAGGAGGATGGTGAGATGTGCTGGGGAGAGGAGGAGGAGATGCTGGGGGGAGGAGGAGGAGGAGAAGATGCTGGGGAGAGGAGGAGGAGACTGGGGAGAGGAGGAGGTGATGGGGAGAGGAGGAAGAGGTGCTGGGGAGAGGAGGGATGAGATGTTGGGGAGAGGAGGAGAGCAGGCTGGGGAGGAGAAGGTGGTGGGGGAGAGGAGGAGGAGATGCTGGGGAGAGGAGGAGGAGATGCTGAGGAAGAGGAGGAAGAGATGCTGGGGGAGAGGAGGAGATGCTGGGGGGAGAGAAGGGAAGATGCTGGGAGAAGAGGAGGAGGAGATGCTGGGGGAGAGGAGGAGGAGATGCTGGGGGGGAGGAGGAGGAGATGCTGGGGGAGAGGAGGTGGAGATGCTGGGGGGAGGAGGAGGAGATGCTGGGGGAGAGGAGGAGGAGATGCTGGGGGAGAGGAGGAGATGCTGGGGAGAGGAGGAGGAGATGCTGGGAGAGGAGGAGGAGATGCTGGGAGAGGAGGAGGAGGAGGAGATGCTGGGGAGGAGGAAAAGATGCTGGGAGAGGAGGGAATGCTGGGGAGATGAGGAAGTGATGCTGAGGGGGAGAGGAGGAGGTGCTGGGGGAGAGGAGGAGGAGAAGATGCTGGGGGGAGTGGAGGAGGAGATGCTGGGGAGAAAGGAGGAGGAGATGCTGTGGGAGAGGAGGAGGAGGAGATGCTGGGGGGAGTGGAGGAGGAGATGCTGGGGAGAAAGGAGGAGGAGATGATGTGGGAGAGGAGGAGGAGGAGATGCTCCTCATACAATTTCAGTCTGGCATGTAATCATATGTACACATCTTTGGCACAGTGTACAGTGTGCAGTTTTGGTGCAGCTGGACGGACAGAAACCTGATGAAAAATGCATGTCCATTGACATACATACAAAGCTGCACCAAAACTGGATGTAAGACAGATGTAATTTGTGCCAAAGCAGCATGTTAGATTCTTGCAAACTGCAGGTGGATAGGTGGGAATAGGTCCTTAGTTAGGTGAGCAACACCAAACACCAGTGTGTTATTTACTAGAATTTATGTTTTTTCAATAAAAAAGTTTGTATCATTGAACGCTCTGTTGTTGTGTTCTTCTTTTAAAACAAAAGATGTTAATTAGTTTGTACAACTATATCAGTTGTTTTTTCTAAACTTAAACCTCAGTATTCAAATGTAATTGCCGTGTTGACACTTTGAGGAAAAAAAGTTGGTTTCTATCGCGGTTTGGGCACTCAGGCTCAAACATGATCACCATCACTGGCCACTCCTCAGATGGCTGCTACAGGTGCTTCAATCTAATACATAAACAATCTTCACTTTAGAATCTAACTCTCATACATGTCCTGATGTGCTGAGATTAGCAGGATTTACATTCCCAGGCTGCAGCTGTTATTTGCAGCTGTCCCTATTAATTCAGTCCTCCTCTCATTCCCAATATGTCAGAGGAGATTCAGGGAAGACAGTGACCGTCTGTCCTTCTCCTAGCATATGACTACAGAGAATGAGGCTAAATTAGGTACAGCAAATGCAGATAAGTACATTTCCAGTGCTAAAGGAAACATAGCCCTAACTCTTACACTAAAATGTGTAATCTAAAATTCATATATCCCTGAGGACTAAGGAGAATATAACACAATCTCAGGGTTCTGGGTAGAGATGTCGCGAACCGTCCGCGAACCTCTCGCGAACGGTTCGCTGCGGTTCGCCACGAGCTGTTCGCGGCGAACTCCGGTCAGCTGACACGTCCCGGCCAATCTCCAGCAGACCCTCCCTCCCAGACCCTCCTACTTCCTGGACAGCATCCATGTCCAGGAAGTAGGAGGGTCTGGGAGGGAGGGTCTGCTGGAGATTAGCCGGGACGTGTCAGCTGACCGGAGTTCGCCGCAAACAGTTCGCACTGAACCGCGGCGAACCGTTCGCGAGAAGTTCGCGGACGGTTCGCGACATCTCTAGTTCTGGGTAAAATCATAAACCACTCAAAATTTAGTCTTGTGGATATATCTCCAGATTTCTGTTTATTGTTTAGTCGTCCACATGGTACACCTGAAACGGAATTCCAAAACAGGCTAAAACAATTGTGATTTGGTAAACCTTTCCAAATGGGCTATAGAGACGGTTGAATTATTTTAGCATGAATTTTTTGATTTCGTTTTCAGTTAAACACAATATTTAATGAATAAACATGATACAGAAACAAATAGTCAGATTTTAAATTGGGGTTTAAAAATAATCATTGCAGAGTAGCATTACTATACAGTAAAAACAAAATGTGTCTATATTGTTTTAAATTGTATCATGTTACCAAATAAGTGAGATAGCTCAGTGGGCTAATGCATCATCAGTAGAATCTGTTCAACACTTGGAGGTAGCAGCTTCAGATCTTGGCATCCTTCCAAGGTTGATAAAATGAGTACCATTAAATTGGGTAATAGTAACAACTCCTGGATGTTGGGCTAAGGTAACATCCCCAGGACGTACTTGAAAACCAGCGTAATCTGAATGTGCCTTTCCTGGTTAAATACTTTGTTATTATATATATGTATATAAACTGCTAAATGTGTATTAATTTCATATATTTTGGACAGACTGATTATACTTGTATTCATTCATGTCTTTTTATCTTTATGAATTGCCCTTTGACACTAAATAAAACCATGAAAGTTAAAATTTGTTAGAAACAAATTTTGCACAGCTAGTGTATGAAATTATAACAATACAGCAATTTATAGTAAAGATTGCTGGTAAAGGGTGATTTATATACAGGGAGTGCAGAATTATTAGGCAAGTTGTATTTTTGAGGATTAATTTTTATTATTGAACAACAACCATGTTCTCAATGAACCCAAAAAACTCATTAATATCAAAGCTGAATATTTTTGAAGTAGTTTTTAGTTTGTTTTTAGTTATAGCTATGTTAGGGGGATATCTGTGTGTGCAGGTGACTATTACTGTGCATAATTATTAGGCAACTTAACAAAAAACAAATATATACCCATTTCAATTATTTATTATTACCAGTGAAACCAATATAACATCTCAACATTCACAAATATACATTTCTGACATTCAAAAAACAAAACAAAAACAAATCAGTGACCAATATAGCCACCTTTCTTTGCAAGGACAATCAAAAGCCTGCCATCCATGGATTCTGTCAGTGTTTTGATCTGTTCACCATCAACATTGCGTGCAGCAGCAACCACAGCCTCCCAGACACTGTTCAGAGAGGTGTACTGTTTTCCCTCCTTGTAAATCTCACATTTGATGATGGACCACAGGTTCTCAATGGGGTTCAGATCAGGTGAACAAGGAGGCCATGTCATTAGATTTTCTTCTTTTATACCCTTTCTTGCCAGCCACGCTGTGGAGTACTTGGACGCGTGTGATGGAGCATTGTCCTGCATGAAAATCATGTTTTTCTTGAAGGATGCAGACTTCTTCCTGTACCACTGCTTGAAGAAGGTGTCTTCCAGGAACTGGCAGTAGGACTGGGAGTTGAGCTTGACTCCATCCTCAACCCGAAAAGGCCCCACAAGCTCATCTTTGATGATACCAGCCCAAACCAGTACTCCACCTCCACCTTGCTGGCGTCTGAGTCGGACTGGAGCTCTCTGCCCTTTACCAATCCAGCCACGGGCCCATCCATCTGGCCCAACAAGACTCACTCTCATTTCATCAGTCCATAAAACCTTAGAAAAATCAGTCTTGAGATATTTCTTGGCCCAGTCTTGACGTTTCAGCTTGTGTGTCTTGTTCAGTGGTGGTCGTCTTTCAGCCTTTCTTACCTTGGCCATGTCTCTGAGTATTGCACACCTTGTGCTTTTGGGCACTCCAGTGATGTTGCAGCTCTGAAATATGGCCAAACTGGTGGCAAGTGGCATCGTGGCAGCTGCACGCTTGACTTTTCTCAGTTCATGGGCAGTTATTTTGCGCCTTGGTTTTTCCACACGCTTCTTGCGACCCTGTTGACTATTTTGAATGAAACGCTTGATTGTTCGATGATCACGCTTCAGAAGCTTTGCAATTTTAAGAGTGCTGCATCCCTCTGCAAGATATCTCACTATTTTTGACTTTTCTGAGCCTGTCAAGTCCTTCTTTTGACCCATTTTGCCAAAGGAAAGGAAGTTGCCTAATAATTATGCACACCTGATATAGGGTGTTGATGTCATTAGACCACACCCCTTCTCATTACAGAGATGCACATCACCTAATATGCTTAATTGGTAGTAGGCTTCGAGCCTATACAGCTTGGAGTAAGACAACATGCATAAAGAGGATGATGTGGTCAAAATACTCATTTGCCTAATAATTCTGCACTCCCTGTATATTAATAAAGGTGTTCTTATTTGTTTATTCTTTCACTCTGTAAATATTTAGAATGTGAAAAAAAGGTTTGTAAAAATAGTTTACACAGATTAATTAAATGGTCAAACACATTGTACAAATTTATTTATTTGTAGGAATCTAATGGCATTTTTGGAATAACAGACTCCTAAAATCCCAGCAGTTTATAAACATTTTGCCTATATATATATATATATATATATATATTCAACCTGATCTGTGAGAAGGAGAAATACTAGGGATAGTAGCAACCTAGAATGCCATTTGCATTACAAATGGTTTAATACTGTTATTTTATATATTGCCAATAAATATATTGTTTGTTATCTGCACTGTATAAATTGACCTTTGCTCTTGTACTTTTTGATTGAGATAGAGCAACCCCAGGCAATCATTTTGGTCTTGCTGGACCTAGTCGGTGAAATATAGATCATACCCCTGTACCGAGTGATGTATTCTGGTTTTGTGCTGCCCCAGGCATGACAAAACTCAGGCCCCCCTCCAAAACTTCCTCCAAAGCTTCCTCCCCCCCATCCCGCCTTCTAAATATACATACACACTCACTGACAGACACATATACACTCAGTGTCAGACACACACATTCCCTGACAGACACACATACACTAGCTAACAGACATACACACTCACACTCACTAACAGACATACACACACTCTCACTAACCGACACATACAGTCACTAACCGACACACACTCACTAATAGACACGCATACACGCTCACTAACAGACAAGCATACACACTCACTAACAAACATACATACTAACACACTCACTAACAGACACACACACTAACTCACTCACTAACAGACACACATACACACTCACTAACAAACATGCATACACACTAACAGACACACACTAACACACTCTCTAACAGACACACACACACTCACTAACAGACATACACACACTCTCACTAACCGACACATACAGTCACTAACCGACACACACTCACTAATAGACACGCATACACGCTCACTAACAGACAAGCATACACACTCACTAACAAACATACATACTAACACACTCACTAACAGACACACACACTAACACACTCTCTAACAGACACACACACACTCACTAACAGACATACACACACTCTCACTAACAGACATACACACACTCTCGCTAACAGACACATACAGTCACTAACCAACACACACAGTCACTAACAGACACACACTCACTAACAGACACGCATACACTCTCACTAACAGACAAGCATACATACTCACTAACAGACACACTAACACACTCACTAACAAACATGCATACACACTAACAGACACACACTAACACACTCTCTAACAGACACACACACACTTACACACTCACTAACAGGCACACACATACTAACACATTCACTAACAGACACACACACTAACAGACACACACATAGTAATACACTCACTAACAGACACACACACACTAACAGACACACACTCACTAACAGACACACACACTCACTCACTAACAGACACAAACACACTCACATTTTTTTTTTAAATTCAATCTCCCCAGCCTCCCTACCTTTGGAAGTGCCGGGGTGGATTCTCACTTTCCCTGGGGTCTAGTGGGGCTGCTGGGCGGCCGACCGGTCACTGCAGTCAGCGAGGGGGCACTGATCCTCCTGTTCAGCTCCCTCACATGCCGCGTAGTGATGCCGGGGCCGGAGTGATGTCATATTCCGGCTCCAGCATCACTGCGGTGCACTTGAGGGAGCTGAACAGGAAGATCAGTGCTCCCTCGCCGCCAGCCTGGAAAGTGCCTCCGCTGCCAGCCCCGTGGGGTCCTGAGGTGGCCAGCCGGCCAGCTGCTGGGCTTCCCAGGACAAGAGGCTGGCAAGGCATTTGCCAGGGTGATTGGGAGGTGGCTTTTTTTGCTGCCCCCCAGAAAATGCCTGGCCAGCCTCGCGGTAAATACACCCCTGCCTCTACTCACAGTGAGGAAGGCCGGAAACGGCCCTCTGAGCTTGCTCTACCTCTGATGCTGAGGGAACTTTCCAGCATTTCAAATGTGGACTGTCTTTTTGGCAGGATGAGTCTCAAATGGAAGTGGTTTTGAAACTCTTGGTAATGGCACATGTGAGCTAAAATTAGCTGAGACCTGAGTGGGGACGCACTGATGGGCGACCTACTTGAGCTGTTGTCCGTTCTTGGTGTTCTCTTGTGATCTGTCTATTTTGGTTTCATCTCATGTACATTATGAAAATGCCACATGTATTATAGTGTTTGACTCCAGCATTCATTTTTCTTTCTTTCAAGAGACTGCAAAATTGAACCTATTTGACACTAAATTGCCCTTGAACGAACAGATGTTCAATTACCCAGTCAAATAAGCAGTCACATCCCACTTCTTCTCCAGTCCTGCTAACTCTGCATTTGGCAACTTTTCTGCACTTTCTAATAAGATTTCCATTTGCAAAATGCAGGTGTTAACTACAAATTACTAGACGGGCAAATATGAGTTGTAAGTTAATTAAT